CCAACACATCCAACGAAGAGTTTAAACTGTTACTCCTCAAGAAAGGCAGCCGTTCGGATTCCAGTTACCGCATGTCTGCTACTGAGATCCTGAAGAGTCCCATCCTACCTAAACCTCCTGGGGACCTCACAGCTGAGTCCCCCCATAGCACCCATGAAGCCCATCAAGGGGCACCTGGTGCTGAGGCATTGTCCCCACTCTCTCCATGCTCCCCAAGAGTTAATGCAGAAGGGTTTTCATCGAAGAACTTTGCCACCTCAGCATCAGCAAGAGTTGGACGTTCCCGGGCCCCTCCTGTGGCCAGCAGCAGCCGCTATAGTGTCCGCTGCAGGCTGTACAATGCGCCCATGCAGGCCATCTCTGAGGGCGAAACAGAAAATTCTGATGGGAGCCCGCATGATGACCGATCCTCCCAGAGCTCAACATAGGTGTCCTGTGCCAGGCTTGCTATCAAAGGCCAAAACCCTTAGTCATATGAGGATGGGGGAATAGAACAGAAGACTAGGGAAGTCAGCACATCATGGGGTACCATAACTTACTACCAATGAATTTCTAAATATTTGCTGGGGAAACAAAAGGTTGTTTGATCTTTCTTGATTATTTTCCATGTTTTTAAGTAGCACTGTCTTTCATATTTTTCTTTAGCTTAGTTTGATTTACCCAATGTCATTCCTTTTGATAATATAGGATTTTAAAATGTCTGCTTTTCATGAAACCTAGAAAAAAGTTTTCCCAGAGCTGCCTATTCAGAAAACAACCCTCACTGTCATAATTCTTAAGAAGATGAAATTACTCTGGAGGTTTGGTATTTTTTTACATTAAAATGAACTAAAGCAAAATTTAGAAGAAAGAACTACACACATGTAAATACCATATTTTTGATAAAAATGTGTAAATAGATTTATCAATGACGAGTGGACATGTGGCAAACTATCTACTGCACACAAACTGTTTATACAACACAACAGATAAAGTGTAATAATTGTATTCTGTGAATACCATTTTCATATCAAATATCATATTTAAATGTCCACTAATATGATTTCTAAGTGATAAACCTCATATATGAATTTTAAACTGGTGAAATAAAGTAAATCTTGAGGTCATATACTGAAATGTGATTAATTTAAAATAATGAATTCAGACCTAACCATTTTTGTGACAAATTGCAGCACCAAACAAGCTAATAGTAGTAATCACGTGGCTGTGATTTGCCATGTGGAAATTTGGACAGAATGAAAAGCATGCTTTTGTTTTTTTAATCAATGAAAGAAATCATCATTATCAACACAATGCCCTGAACAACAGCATTTGACAGTGTCCTTTAAACTTTAATTTTTCAGTGGATTACTTTAAAGAGAATGAGTAGGGAAAACTAGTTAATTTTAGGTTATGTTTTATATTAGGCTACTGGGGACATAAACAGTCATAATCTAATGACTATAATCTTAAAACTCCTTAAACAGTCTAGCAATTAGCTCCAGGTTCTTTAATGAAAATGAAACATAAGCATGCCACAGAGCTGTTGATTTAACAGTGAATACCTGCAATGAGTTTTCAGTGAAGCTTCTCTCTGTGCTGATGAGATTTGTGCTACCTAAAAATGAACAGAAATGACACTGTGAACAATGTAGTTGGGAAATAGGTATGTGTATATGCATTATTTATCTTCACTGTTAAGCTGGGAATGGGGAACAGCTCTGGTTCACAATGCTACATGCAACTGAGTTTTTGTCTGATTTTACTATATCTGCTTGATGGCAAAAGGGGAGGGGTGGTGGGTGGGAAAGGAAATGTCAGGCAAGTGCTCTGATAAAATGAAGGCAGGGAAACAAGCTGAATTACTTGAAATTACTTGAATTTTCTTGTCTTAAAACTGAAAAAAAATGTAGTTACAAGTTGAAATCTGCAAATAGTTTTTACACCTCTGATTTTAACATGAACTGATGCCAATGTTTGAAATATGTCAGAAATATAAGCAGTTATGTACTTAGAATACGTTTTTAATGGGGGAAGGTAGAAAGTGGAGAGAACTAAAGAGGGATATCGCCTATAAAAGAAGAGAATGCAATTAGAATGATAGAACATACCAGAGTTACCAAGAAATTGATATGCAGCTGGCTTTAAGCTTATGCAAGTGGTTTTTGGGAAAGTAGGATGTGTGAAAGCGGGGTTGTGGTTTTGATTTAATTCATGCAATACGAAGGAGAAAGCCTGGTCTAAGAACATGCTGTCTTTCAAATGAAACACTTTCTAAGATGTTACAGATTGAGAATTAGAGAATCTGATTGTTGTCGGGTTGTTTGTTTGTTTGTCCGGAAAGGAAAAACAAGTCTGGCTTCTGCTATTTGTTTTCACTATCAAGTTGTGTTTCTTAATTTCTTGTCATCCTTGTATGTAAAATGGGTGCTGAGGGTGGCGGGGTAGAGGAGGGAGGATGTATGTATGTGTATGCACGTGTGTGCATTTGCACACTCTTGTGCTGGGATAGATAAGCTACCTGGTAAAGGGTACATTTGAACATTTACAAAGTGTTATACTTTTTATGAAAAGAAAAATATTTGGGGGTTTGAAAAATGGACCATCATTTCTCATTGGAACCCATTAGTTTAAAAAACCAGCATGGTTTGACACCACATGGAAACATGAATATCTGTTTCTCATGCTTTCAAAAGTACACTTGGCAAAATTTTAAAAATAAAGTTTTTAGACAAATGTGATAAGAAACAGTCATTTCCAGTCACAATAGGTGATCTTTTGTAATTTTCATAAAAGCAGTTCGTTTGCAGTATGGCTTTGTGTAGTTGGGGGCTTTTTAAGCATAAAGCAAGGTATGTGGGCTTTAAAAGTGATTCTATATCTTGAATAGAAAACATGATTGGCTTTAATAAATATGTCACCTTTTTATTATTGATGTTAATTTAAGTAATGGTACCATGTATGTTTTAAAATACATATTGACTTGAATTGTGAGGCAATAAAATACCTTCTGTATGTAATGATCACAGAACTAACCCTTATAGTTTTACTTATTTTGTTTACTCTAAAAATCTATAGCAGAGTTGCTCTATTTTATATTTCATAGATTAAAAAACCCAAATAAAGATGGATTTTAAATTCACTGTGGAAAAGAGTACTGAGTACCAAACTGAGTAAGAAACAAACAAACAAGGAATTCCTTAGTAGTGTGGAATATTCTACATGGCTTAATTACATAGCATATAAGACCAAGATTTAGAGGACTATTTTCAACATCACTGCCATCTTGAAGCAGGGTACACACATTAGGTATTGCAAAAAACATCAATCCAAACTTTTCTTCTGTTGTTTGCACTGATGGTAATTTTTTTTAAATGTTTGTACAACATGTCTATGTTATGTGGGAGAAATCTTTTTTCCTTACTTTTGGATTTTTTTTTTTGTTTTGGCTAAGTAGAGGACGTGGACTAGTTACAGCAAACAAAACACACTGTTTGCTCTTGCCAAAGGTCAGTGAGTGAGTACATTAGCTACAGTGGTGGCAGACTTAGAAAACTAGATCATGACAAAGATTTAAAACTATAAAGAAGGTTACAGTATAACTATTTTGGTACTAGAAACAGTTCATGCTGGCCAAAAAGACAATGGTTTATGGACTTGCATCCATTTTGTATTTTTGTAATATTGTAAATATGAACTTTTTAAATTGTTGCAAAAACGGTTTCTTTTGTAAGTTTTCAACGTTTACATTCAATTCAAGCCTTTGTATATTTTAGAGCTGTGCAACACTTTAAGTCTTGTATTTATTTTTAGTAAAAATGGTGACAGTTTTATTGTGAACCCCTCTCAAAAAATGTACCAGGAAAGTTTGATTACCTAGAAAGTGTGTATAGAAACTGCAAATAAACGTGACTGCAATTAAACAACGTGGTTTCTCTCTTCTTTGTTATATAATTGCATTCTTGGGTTTTCCCAAACACACGCATTTTACAGGGAAATGGAAATAAAAGGGGAACTGCTGTGTCAAAAGTATGGGCAAAATAAAAATAATAAGTAGTAATAATAATAATGTCTCAATAATGGGCTTTAATCTAGTTTTGTATTTGAGAGGAGAAAGAACACATTTCCAATGTTGGATATACTTTCCTTGTAGCTCCTCTCTTTGGGCCAGGAAAAGATTTTTATCTTGACTTTGAAATATTTACCTTTGCTTCTGATAAGTACTAAGACTGTGCCTCCTTTTCAAGATGCACAGCCTCGAGATAGATACAGATAATATCCCACCAAATAATGTCATGTACCCTTTATTACATAGCAAAGTCATGTGCAAAAATACTGCGCTCTGCTTACTCTAACTCATGTACTTCCCACATTGTGCCCATTTTACAGATGGGGCAACTAAAGCACAGAGCATTACTTGACTTGTCCAAAGCCACAGAGAGACTAAGCGCTGGGACTGGGCTTGCAACCCAGAAAATCTGGCTCCAGGGTCTGCTAGAAACAAACCAGGACTGCTAAAACCCATTGCTAAGGCCACGCCCCTCTCCCACATCAAATTCCATTACTGAAGAGCACACTTAGGATGCAAAGTTGACTGCTGGCTGTGGTACCTCGCAGAGGGATGGGGAGGGGCGGAAATACGTTAAAAAGAAAGCTTCAACCAATCAGTGTCAGTGGAGAGGCCTCGCGCCTAAACCCACGTGAGACACCTGCAGGAATCCTCTGTGCTGCCGAAACTGTCACATGCACGTGCACGTGCACGCGCTGGCACCCCTTCACAGCCGCAAAAACCCCTTTCTGCACTGCACGATCGCGCCTGCGGACTAGCCCCGGATTCCTATCCCACTAGCCTCTGCGAACGGAAATCTCGGATGCAGGCATTGGCGCTACGCTGTAGGGAAGCAAAGTCTCCCTAGCAACATCCTGGGCTCCAAGGGTTGCGCATGCGCGCTCGGGATTGCTAGGTAATCTGCAAGTTTGGAAGCCGTTGCGCTGCGGTGGTCAGTAGGTCGTGCGTCTGTCCTTATCTTGCGTGAGACGCCCGGGCCATACGTCACGTCATCTGGGTCAACTTCCGGTGCGACCTCGAGCGATCGAAAGACTGCTTGCGGTTGACGCTGAGGGAGACTGTCGGCCGCCAGCTGGTTCCCGCATCTTTTGGAGACCGGTGTGACCGGATTTGAAAAGGTTTTTCCAGCGGCATTTTCCCCTTTCCTTGAATTTTCTTGTCTTGTGTGTGGGCGAGAAGTAGTTGAGTAATTTTAATGCCTGAGGAACTCCGGGGAGTAAAGTGGGGTGGGTGAGAGGATTTGCCTGAGGGGAAAAATTTTTTGGAATCACAAATCTTCAATTAAATTTCAGCAACGCTGTGGGATGGGGGTCCGTGGGTGAGTGTGGCTGGTTTGGGTCGGTCCCGGCGGGTTCCCGCTCGTTCCCGCTTGTTCCCGCTCGTTCCCGCCCGTTCCCGCTCGTTCCCCTGGTTCACACCACTTCTCGCGGATGCCCGCGCTTTTGAGCTTCTGCGTTTTGGCGGTTTGTTGAGTAGTTCGTGCGGACTTTTGGGTACGAGTTGGTCTTTTCTCATCGTTTTTTTCTTCCTTGGCAGAGGTGGGTGGGCGGGCGGCGAGGAACGACCAAGACTTTAAATCTCTGTCTCATATGTATGTGTAATTTCGAGTTTAAGTAAGTGATAAGATAGTGGGTTTGTTATATCTTTTGAGATTGCGATGCTGTTTTTGAGGCTTTGATGGAAAATGCGTTTGATCTAAGATAGTGCAGCCTTGCTGTTGTGTCGTTAATAACGTAAACGAGGAGAAAGAAAATAAAGACCTAGGCTGAGCACGGTCGTTTGATAAATTAGTCTTTTCGGGATCGCTTCCTTCCCTCCCTACCCTGCCCTCCCGGAATTAGGATTGCTATAGGGTTTGAAACTGGTTTAATGTTTATAAATCATGATATTTCTAGGCAACTTTTCTGCTCTTATAAAGCAAAGTATGGGCTCGATTCAGTGCCAGGCAATGGAACACGTTTTGGGTAACATTGTCCTCAATCTGGCGTATTCTGCAGTCTGTGGAGTTTTGTATGGAAGTGCTGCTTTTGCGAGATCTGATAGGAATTTTAGAAAGTGATTGTTCAGTGTGTCAACACACAGTTTTGTTGTTAAAAAAAAAAATCCACCTTGGAGTGGCCTGGCGTAATCTGCCTTGTTTTGTGTATTCCTTCAGATTATTTTTGGGCAAAAGGCCATTTTCATCTCTCGCCATTCTGATAAATTGATGGCAAGTGAATGCCTTGTACCTTGGGAGCAGAATCTTCAAATGACTTTTGAAAAATGTCTTCGAAATGTTTTTAATGTCTAAAAATACCTTATAAAAACCAGATGGCTTTTCGTTCTTATGTTATCAGGAATTTAGATTTTCTATGGTAAAATATGAATGAGCGTCATTCTAGGTAAACTCATTTTGCAGGATTTTGAATTTGACGAATTTTATTTATTTTGCCAAATCCAGTCATGATTGGGTTCTAAGCAAATGTTGCACAAACTTTATTTATTTTGTGGGAAGAAGCAAAACGGAAAGTTTAGGCTGTGCCTGCTGTGAACCAGATCTGATGCTGGGTGCTTAACTGTATTTGGTCTTCACAGCCCTGTGAAGTAGATATTCCAACTATACAGGTTAAGAAATTGAGGCACAGAGAGATTAAATACCTGACTAAACTAAAATAGCAATTTTTGCAATTTGTTCTTAGGTTTGAGTATTTCTTAAAGCCCAGTTCTTTGTACTATGCCCTGGTATTTCAAATTTGCTTAGAAGAAATGGTTGCTATATCTGCAGTGTCCAGGCGCAAAATGACTCAGATTTACATGTTATGACCCCCAAGGATTTGTTAACACATGTGCTCCATGGTGAATAGTTCTGTTGGGAGGATGTTGTGAATACACAGATAATAAAGTAGCCAACAGCCGGTACTGCTGTGCCAGTCATTGTTCTAAGCACTTGACACTTAATTCTTTTAATCCTCATAACTTCGTGAAGTTGGAACTATTATCCCCATTTTACAGGTGGTTTTTTTTTTAAATACACAGACATTAAGTAAATTCTCCAAAGTCACTCAGCTAGTAAGTGGAGGAACCTGGACCCAAAGCCAAGGTCTAAGGACTTAATGGTATTTGAAGTTGCCTCTCATGTGACTACTCAATGTAGGACAGTTGTCTTAAAAGTGTTGAAGTATGAGTGCTCTGTACTGGGGAAAGCAGTGTCACTTCCAGATGGGGTAACATAGCACCTTTGCTTTGTGGAGATGGTACTTGAATTAAGCCATGAAATTGACTAGGTTTTCCCAGGTGGAGAGATGGCAGGATATTTGGGCAGAGAGCATAACAGGAATAAGAGGTTCAGAGTGCAAGGTTGGTGTTGATTTGTGAATGGGCCACAGAGGTAAAAATTGAGTGGTGGACTCAATGCTTGCTGCTTCTGGTTTAGCTATAGCCAAGTTTTTGCAGCATTATAATTTTCCAGGAGAGGATTGTCTGGTTGTAAGGGTCTCTAACAGTGGTTGGCAAACTTTGTCTATAAAAGGCCAGATAGTCAATATTTTAGGCTTAGAGCCAGGGGACAGGTGGTAAGAGGTTTAAAAGGTCTATTCTAAATCATAAACGGAGAATTTCTAAAATTAGACAAGAGTACTCCAATTCAGTTTGAGTTGGCATTGTGAGAACGTAGCCATACTAAGTTTATTAAGATAATGTATAAAGTAACTTTTTTATGCATTGTTTTTCAGGAGTAAAGGGGTTTACCAGTTATAGGTGACCAAGCAGTTTCACAAATAAAGCCTCCAACGAGTTTAAAAATAATTAGTCCCAATTCAGAGAAGTGGAGTGCTCCTGTTTCACAAAGATGTCGAGCTGCTCCAGTGAAGTCGATGTGGTTTGTATTTCAAATTGAAAAAAAAATTGTCCTTGTTCTTTTCATTGTGTTATATTTCTTTTCTAAATCGAATTTAATTTCACACAGTGAAATTCAGAGATCCTAAATATATAGTTTATGGGTTTTGACAATGATCTGTAAAGCTGTTATGAACATTTCATGTATGAGGTTTTTTTGTGAACAGATACTAACATTTCCTTTGGGTCAGTGCTCAGGAGTTGAATTGCTAGGTCATAGGGTTGATGTAATTATAACTTTGAGAATCTACCAGCTTTTTAAAAGTGGTTATGGTCTTCAACATTCTTTCACATTCTGTTTCTTGATCCCTGATGTTGAATAAAAATGAGTTTTTTTTAATCTACGTATAATTTGGCTTAACAGAAAACATACTACTTAAAATGGATGTAGATACTACTGCCACCTAAGTGGCCTAGGCAATTTTTAAAATTTCTGTTAGTCCTAACATTTTTCATCTTTGGAGATAATGTTAACTGCCTACAGAAAGTTATTTTTTTTCTGACATAATCATATGAAACCACTTGGGAAAGCATAAGGTGCTATACAAAAGTAAGGTGGTATATCTTTATAAGTACTAATTCATAGCAATTCCATATTACTTTGGTTATATCTTTTGAAACAGATATGTATAGCTTCAAAGTATCTTTATTTTAAAATTATTCCTGTAGTTCATAATTCATTCTTAGAATAAAGAATTGTTAAATAAAGTTGAATGGTTGTTTACTATCTGTTTATTTAAAGCATCCCAAAATTTTTAAGGAGATTTAGAGATTAATTTATTAAGAAAAAGGCAGATGGGTTGAGAAGTGCAGGCTGGTAGTTACAAAATAGTCATGGGGGCTATAAAATATAGGAAAGCATAGGAAATAGAGTCAGTAATATTGTAATAACTGTATGCTATCAGTTGGATATGGGAAACATCAGGGGGAGCACTTTGTAGAATATATGGTTATCAAACCACTATGCAGTACACCTGAGACTAATAGAAAATATCAGTGAATGTAAACTGTAATTGAAAAATTCTTTTAAATTAAAAAAAAAAGTTCCCAAAAAGAAAGAAAAAAAAAAAGAAAAGAAAAGAAACGCCTTGGTAAAATACTATGTAGAAAAACCTAGAATTTTAGATGTTTTATGATTATTTTTTACTAACAATAATTAACTTTTGTGCTATTAAAACAAATATTTGTTAATCAGGAAAAGAAAGGTTTCATAAAAATTAGAACAAAAAGAAATAGGTACTTAAGTGTTTCCTATTTTGTCCATAGAGTGGCACTGTTGAGTGGTTTAAAATCAAAAGCCATGTAACATGGTTCTTGGTAATAAGAAATATTTGTTGTTGCAGCAGTTCTGGTGCCAGATTACTAGAAGACTAGTCTTTCTACCCTTAGGTACACAAGTGGTTAAGCTTGATGAAAATGTCATAAGTGTAGTTGGGTTAATGAGTAAGCAGTTTTGCAAGTACATCTTTGTGTGTGTGTGTGTGTGTGTGTGTGTGTGGTCCTACTATTTATTTACAATGAACAAAGTCCTTTAATACCACAGTAGACTTTTGGAGTTTCTTGAAAGTGAAATTGAAGTCCTAAGTTTTTCTGGCAGTTCCTTTCATGCTTCCTTTTAATTTATTAATAAATCTTCCTTAGATAAAAACTCGCATACGTTCTGGTGATGATGAGAACGGGATTCTTTATGCATATGAATCAAATCCTGCATATGTAAACGTAAGTAATGTTACTTGCCATTTACCAAATGTAACATTTAACCATTTTAAAGGAAATATTTAAATTCTTCATATACGATAGAGTGCCTCTAAACCACTCAAGAAAATATTACTCTGTCATGAATTTGTCTGCTTTCATTAGACAATGAGCATTTAACCATTTTACTTCTCTCTTTTCCTTATATAGTAGGAAATTGAGAGCAATACCCATTTTCAGTACAAAATTCTAAACGTAGGTCATTGTGATATAATAAATTCTTTCCTTTCTTAATTAGCAGTTACCATTTCTATTATAATTTTCTTTTATTTCATCTCTGCTTTAGATTAAAATTTCTGAAACGGAAAAGTTGGTAAAAGTAAGAACAATTTCAAATAAATAAGTATAAAGTGTTTTTATCCTATGTTCAGCTTGGCTCTTACAGAAGTAAACCATTAATACTTAACATTTAAAATCTTAGCAGCAAAGTGTTCAGTCTGACACATCCTCCGAAGAGCAACAAAAAGTGATTATGGATGTCCTGAGTCGTTGCCAGGTACAAAAGTTCTGTCTGTCAAATGTAGTTTTCTAAAATACTAAGCTGACATTCTCTTTATTTCATGTAAAGAATATAATTAATTGAAATTTTGCTGTATTAAATTATGTATGATTGTCACCCCATTGTGATAATTTTTAACAGTTTCTAGTTTGAATAGCATCTCTGGGTGAAAATTTCAAAGTAGCAATATGTAGATTTTATAACTTTTTTTTAAAAGCCCTTAACTGCTCAAATGTAGTTATGTCTCTTTCATCTTGATTATTCAGTATTGAATTAATTTTCCCTACATAATTTTCAAAGGAAATTGGCTGATTTGGATGAAATTTAGTATGTACCTAAATGCATACAAAGATATCTCGATTGAAACAAAATGGCAGCCAACCACTGTTTTTAAAAGAGTATATCTTACATAGTTTCGAGGGGATTTTGTAAAAATTAGCATATTGGTAGAGGTAGATAGAAATATGTAATTATCAAAGGATTTTGTGGGCTGTATACCCTAGAGGTAATGAACATTTATAAAAAGTCAATTTTCTTAAGGTATCAAGTGTCTTGAATAAAATGAGCTAGCATATTTTGAAAAGTAAATAATGTTTATATGAGTCTTGATCAAGTGGAATGCTTAAAGGGGACACATCAAGTCTTCAGGGGAAAATGTGCAGAGGATGGGCCATAGGGGGAGGGAGAGGGCTCTCATTCTGAGCAGGGCTATCCCTGGCCTGCCTTGCCTAAGCATCCAGGATGCCTAAGCATCCAAGACCACCTAGGTACACACTGCTCTGCCAGGCCCTTCTGAGCAATTGTGCAGGGTGTGGTGGGATGTAGCATCTCAGATAAGACATGCTCAGGCCCCATGAGGGATCCAGCCTATTTCTCCTAGTGTGTGAGCTCTCTCCTTTCTTCAACTTCTTCCCTTAGCAGCCTAGACTGCATGGTGCAGCACTTCCATCTTTTCTTTTTTATCCTTGCCCACATCCTCTTTAGTAAAACCCCAGCCCTGTCCATGCTGGGAAGCAGAGGGGAGGACTTCTGCTGGGACCTGTCCACTGTCTGGTCTGTAGTCAGCACCCTCTCCCCATGTGCTCCAGGCACGCCCATCCTTGCCTCTTGTTTAATGGAGAAAATGGGTGGGGTGGGGGCAGAAATCTTCTCCCCGCAGCCCACAGACTTGCCTGGGATACATTGTTCTTCTGGTGTTTTTCTCTGTAAGGCCAACATCTCTGCTGGCTTCTGCATCTGACCCTCTTTCCCTGTGCTCAGACTCCTCCTTTCATGGGTCATCCCTCTCTCTCCTGGATCTCCAGCCTCTGTGTCTATTACTCTCAGCATGTTCTCTCACGGTTTTAAAAAAATCACTTCTCCCCTGGCTGGTGTAGCTCAGTGGATTGGGTGCGGGTCACTGGTTCGATTCCCAGTCAGGGCACATGTCTGGGTTGTGGGCCAGGTCCCCAGTATGGGGTGTGTGAGAGGCAACCACACGTTGATGTTTCAGTCCCTCTTTCTCTTTCCCTTCCCATCTATAAACAAACAAACAAACAAGTAAATAAAATCTTTTAAAAAATCACTTCTTTTAGCCTCCTAGCCCTCTTCCACTGTCATCTATCCTCTCTCCTTCCCTTAATAACCCAGCTCTTTGAATGTCAGTTATGTTCACTATTGAAACACCTGACTTCCTGTTTTCTCTGAGTATTTTTGAATACACTGTTCTTTCTGCCCTGTGTGTCCTTCCATGCATCTTTACCTAGTGAACACCTTCTTGTCTTTCAATTCTCAGTGTAGACCTTTGCTTCTCTGAAAAGATCTGCCAACCTGCATTAGGTCTTTGCATACACGTAGCCTCCTGTTCTTACCCGTGCCATGATAGTCATAATAGTAATGTTCACATTAATAGATGATTGAGCACGACTGGACCAGTCATTGTGTAGTATTGCTAATATGTTAGTATGAACATAATACCATAGCACCTTGCTTTGTCCTCAAGAGAACTCAGGGATTTTCATCCTGATTCTATATGTGAGGAAATTGAAGCACAGAGAAGTTAAGTAACTTGACCAAGGTCACAGAGCTAATAAGTGGCAGAGCTCTAATACTGAAACCCAAGCTCGTTCCCCTGGAGTCCACACTACTTACCTCAGTGCTGTAGGCCCATCACTGGGCCTCACACTTGATGTGACATCACAATTACCTGGAGGGCTTGTGAAAACACAGGTGCTGCCCCCACTCTGAGTTCCCAATTCATTAAGTCTGGAGTAGGAGATTGTTCATTTCTAGCAAACTAGTATTGATGCTACTGGTCCACAAATCCATACTTTGAGAACCACTGCTCCAGGCTGCTAATTACTTTCTCTATTGAAACCATCTCTTCACTTGTCTCTCTCCAGCTAGAATAGGAGTTCCTTAGGACAGGAGCTGGTTGGGGTTTTTCCCCTTACCATCCATGTTCCCAGCATCTAGCAAAGTAGTTCTGACAGGTGGTATGCCCTCAATAAATGTTTATTGGAATGAGAGACTGAGGAAATGGTTCTGCACTATTATTTAAGTGTCTTTTTTGCCTGAATGAAATTTCTCTGTATTTCAAGAATTCAGTCACATACCTGATTGGCATATAGGGGATGTGTACTCAAAGATTTTATGGCATTAATTGTTGATTTTATGATTTTTAAATGCTTTGAAGCCAGAAGTTACACCTGATATATCTGGCTTACTGTTCTTCCCAGAGTGGAATGTTCACTGCCTATTAGTTTATGTTGTCATATGGAAAGAGGTTCTTTGGATTTTCAGCAGAATTTGAACATTTATTTCCAAAAGTAGTACCTTCTTGATGTAAAATGACTCCATCAGGAATGCGATAGGTTATAGGAATTGTGGCACATTTACTTCCCAGAATTAAAGCCTCTCCAAATGCCTGTGTGACATGGAGTAGTTGCATTGGAGGTTGGGGATCCTTGTGGTCAGCCAGCTCTGTTACCGACAACCAGGCATCAAGTTGGCAAGCAAGACATTTCTGATGGCATGAGAACTTTCTTTGTTCCTAGCAGTCAAAATTGACTTAATGGTATTTTCATATGTTACATTTCTTTTGATATAGAACCTGCTAATAGATTGTATTATTATAGGTCATCCAGGATACTGTTGAAAACCTGGATAAGAAATTTGATGTCATGAATGGGAAGGTTTCAAAAATTTACCGTTTCCGTGCAAAATTAATCTGGCAAAATCGCGTAAGTGTTATAAAAATATTTTCATGACTCTGATAAACCTTTGGTTTTTGAAGATGCCTGTGAGTTAAAAGTGAGAGAAGTAATAGTCTGAGAGACTGTGTGATCCATACTTGTTGTAGCAGTAGATGGAAGACTAAATTTCTAGGAAGAATGCTGAAGTTTAGGTTTGAGAAATGTAATGACAGTATTTTTATGTTTGTATCCATAATGTATAAAATGCAATTAAAAGGTAGGGTTGAAGAGGTATAAAAACCATATAGTCAAATAGAATATTAATCTTTAATCATAACAAGCAATGTTGCATGGATAATAAATATTGATGTGTTTACTACTTTCCTTTTTTGCTCATTCTCAGTTGGTTTATTCTGGGTTTGTGTCATTTCAGAGGCCACTTGGATATGCATACAAACATTATAATCACCTGATTTCTAGAAGGATAAAATTGCAGAAAACGAAGAAGGATGTGCCTGATGAGCCTGCTGTGCCTGCTGAGCCTGCTGAGCCTGCTGTGCCTGCTGTGCCTAATGAGCCCGCTGTGCCTGATGAGCCCGATGATATGTCTGAAAAGCTTTATCCCGCTTCATTGTCTCGTAGTCACAGTTATAGCCCAACTGTACCAGTAAGAAGACCAACAGATTACCAGGATAGCCCTATGGGAACATTCTATCAGTCACAGGATTCCCTTACTCAGGATCACTGTTCATTCTATGAGGGCCGAGGCATACGCCTTAGCCAGAGTCCAACATTTCCTGGCTACTCTTCTTCATATCCGTCAGGTTACGCACCCATTGATCTAGTGCAGGGCTCTACATCCGTACCTGCAGACATGCTGGGCCAAGGCAGATCCAGTCCAGCACACAACCATGATATGATGACTTACCCAACCTTGCTGCAAAATGAGAACCTCGGCCATACTGCCTCATCTCTCTGCATGCCAGCTGGCTTCGGTGAGTGTGAAATAACACATATTACAAGTAGCACTATTTAACCTTTATTCCTCAACATCCTTGGTGCAAACTAGGGGAAGCTATTAGTTTTGTATTTTGAGGACTGATTTTGGGTGATATTCATAATGGTGACTTAACATTTGTTAAGTATCTGTTATATGACATATTGCTAATCAGCTGACATGCCTCTTCTCCATTAATATTCATAATGATACCATTGTGAGATTTTTAATCTTATGTTTTTATTTACCCTTTTCCTGAGTATATATTCAAAATGTTCCTGGAATGGCCAGAGCCCAGATGATAGGAAAGAAAAGGTACACCTTTGGCTAATCCATGCACAAGAATGATCAAAATTGTGTTGATAGTCCTTAGAGAAATGAATCTTCCTAGGGAATTATAAAACCCACTTCTGTTACCACAGACTGTAGAGTTGAGTGTTGTAGTTGGAAAAAGAATAGTTGTCTAGACACAGAGAAATTTCAGCACAACTTAGTGAACGTCACAGCTAAAACTTCGAGGCATGAGCACTTCAGTTTTATGTCTTAATTATTTTTTCAACATATAAACCTTCAATCAAAATAGGTATTACTGTGTAATTAAACTCAAAAGAGGTATTTAATATTAAAGTTACTTCTGGCATAGCTAAGCAGAAAATAATCTTGTTTTCTTTAAAATTCAGGTAAAAATTTAAGCCTTGAGAGACAGGAATTTAAAAGACTAAAAGGCTTAAATATCCATAATGAATAAATACAATGGAGAGAGTCAGTAAAGAACTACTTTGGGTCTCAAAGATAATAGGCTTTTGAAATTCATTGATTAAAGTGAATAAATTTAAGCAATTACAAAATTAAATTTGGGGAATTTCCATTGTATTTAGCTAGTAAAATAAACCTAATCTACACAGACCAAGAGGAGAGAGATTCAGAGAAATTCACTGAAATACTTAGTAATAGGTTAGTTTAGATGGACCTAATTAACCCAAGTAACAGATCTTTTGCTGTATTTGTGGCCAAAGAGACCTTGGGTTGTTCAGTCTGTTTTATGATGTTTGAAGCTTTCTGGTAACTTCTGAAGCTGCTTTTGTTGTTCGTGGGCAGTCAGATGGGACACTTGTGGGTACCCATCCTCACGCCATCTTCATGTAAGCTTTTACTGGATTTTACATTTGGAGTCCTGGGTCCTTGCTGGGCTACTTAACAAATGGTTCCAGGAATGAGACCAACACTCCCTATTTAAGTAACATCTCTTCTTTCAGGATAATGATTAGGTCAAGTGTTGGGTTAGCCAAAAAGTCCATATGGTTTTTTCCATTAAAAAAGAGATATATTTTTCATTTTTAACAACAACTTTATTGATTTGAATATTTTGAGTATGTCAGCTATCTCCCACATGGTACAATGTTGCTTGTTCTCAATTAATGTCTCAGTTTGATCGCTGTCAACTTGAACTTTTCTACCAAACTGCAGAGCATTGTCTAGTGAGAAATCTCTAGCACGAAACCTCACAAACCACTTTTGACACTTTTGATCAGTCACAGCACCTGCATACACTGAACAAGTCTGTTAGTATGTGTTTTGGTTGTGTTTTTACCTTTTTTGAAATAATAAAGCATAAAATGCTAAAAATGTCACTTATTTTCCATCTTCAATACTAAAATGACTAAAGAAAAATTTGCCAATTTTGATGTTTTTAAAATTCATGCTGATAGGACAGCTGTCATGATACATTATAACAAAATTGTTTTGAATGAAGTTAAAGACAACTAAGTGCTCCTAGAGCCATCTTACAGAAAACAAATGACTTTTTTTGCTAATCCAATATAATTTGTCTTTTTCCTCCATCAAAGCTACAAGTTCATCAGTTGGAAATGACCAAGGTGTACTGCAATACCCTTACTATGCAGACCCTGCAGATTGGTCTGTAGAGGAAGTGATCCTGTTTCTGAAAGAAGTAGATCCTCATACACTCCTCCCCCTGGCTGACCTCTTCAGGGAACATGTAATGTATCTTTTGATATGATTTTCCTGCCTTTGAATGACCTCTGTGTAGGCTTCTTCAGTTGGATGCTGATTAGTGTGGGTGGGGAACCCTATCACCTGATTTTTCCTTATGTGAGAAAGTTTACTTTGCTCAAAGTTAGAGCAATAAGTGGTAGAGGCTGGATCTGTGCTTTAAATGGGTACCCAAGTACCTAAAATACTAAGTCTTCAAGTTCTCAAGAGAAGATTATTCAGCCTGGTCATTCACTCTCAGGTGTCTTCTCCTTTGTAATGACAGCTACAACAGTTCTTGTTATGATGCCTGATGAATCCAGCAGCTGATTTCATTTGCTTAGTTCTGCTAACCTTACATGGTTATTGAGGGTTTGGGATGCTGATACTCTCATGCCATTTAAGTTCTAATTTCTTTAACTTCCCAGTTTTACTTAGAAAAAGTATGGAAGGTGCCTAACAAAGGCAGTACTGTATGGGATTTCAGATGTTTTCAGTTGGTGATACAACATATATGATTCAGTAAATTTTTATTTTTAAACCAGATCTCGTGAAAACCAAATTATGTGCTCCAGCAGTGTCAGTTGTTCAATTAACATAATAAAGATTTTAAGGAAGTTGCCTGTATCTATCAAGTCATAGTCTTACAGTTTTTCATAATGGATAAAATTAGTGGCCACATATCTGATACACCCTTTTAGATAGGGTACAAAAATCAGTAATTAGTTTTAGCATCTTTTTAGCTTCAGACAAGTAACTGATGAGCTTTCACCATAAACAACACTGTCTAGCACATTTACAGTTTGCGTTGATGCAGACATACTCATATTCCCCACCTTTCTAAGAAAGTTAATGACCATCTGAAATCCATGTCTACTATTTCTAGTTTTTATTTTTGTAATAGCTATGTAGAATTTTATTCTTTTTTTCTTATTGTTCATCATAGGATTTTATTCTAAGTACAGTATCTAAAATTAGGTAGTTTGACACTAAGGACATTTTTACAATACTAGGTTAAATTTCCTTTCTCTTAAAATTTGAAGTAAAATTTACTAATGACCAAATTATGGCTTCAGCTATACACATTGTATCTTCAGTAGTTTTCATCAAGCAGCTACATATTCAGAGAATATATATCTGAAATGAGCTGCCCTCTAATTGATGTTACATATTATATGTAAAGAAATGACTATTTTGATAAAATATGAAAGCATTATTAATTATTGTAATTTTCTTTGTAGGAAATTGATGGGAAAGCTATGCTGTTACTCCACAGTGATGTTATGATGAAGTATATGGGGCTGAAGCTCGGGACAGCTCTGAAGTTGTGCCACTACATTGAAAAGCTTAAAGAAGAAAAATGCATCATTGACATTTGAGAAAATGTCTGTGTAGATTTAGATTGGACTTAATTCTGGGGAGAGGAATGCTATCTTGCTGTAAAATCATTTTACTGCCCTTAGAAATGTTTGTGTTGTAGAAGGTTCCTCTAAAAGCTTATTATATCCAGAATCACAGAGCTACATTATAGTCCAGTCTACTGCTTTAGAAACCATTTAATGTGTTGTTATTAGCATATTCAAATAGACAGTTTCTGCTTAATCTTTATTGTTGCCATTTTGTCATTTTTACTTCATAGAAGAAACAGAAATACCTTTGACTTTGGTTGACGTTTATGTATAGAACAAAAACAGCTAAATCCCAAAGAGAAAATATTAGGGATTGATAAATTCTCTAATAAAATCTATGAGAAGTTTTCCTTAGAAGAAAATTTAAAGATACAACTGCAGATATCATCTCTTTCTCAAATATTATATATCTGTAATAGCAGTGTTCTGTTAGTGTCCTACCAGTTTCCAGAAAGGGAATAACCATATAACTTACTTTCCTTTTGTTGTTATTTCTCTGTTTGTTTGTTTATTCCCATTTAAAGAAAAAGTAACCTTATGAGGTTTCTAAAGTGTTGCTACCAGGTTTTTGATAAATTATAAGATAGAATAGTTTTATGCAATAGATCACAGGTGGCAAACACAAGGCCCATGGTCCACATCTGGCCTTCTACCTTGTTTCTGCCCGGCGGCAGCGCCGAGCTCTCGCTTAACTGTTAAGGAGCAGATACATGTATACAGTCCTAAAGTTACACTCGGCCCTTTGAAGGCAACCGTGAGGCTGATGTGGCCCCCGGCGAAAATGAGTTTGACAGCCCTACTCTTATACTACAAGGATGTTTTGGGTGGAGTCTGGCTATATGCTATTCCTTTAAATGCATGCTATTTTAAAACTTTTAAAATATTTTGTTTAAGCTCTGATATTTAGCCATTTGTAGTTCACATCTCTCTCTGAAGGTGCCTATGTCGAAACTCTTAAAAGATGCATATTCATGTTAATGTTTTATTCTATATGTGAAGTTTACACACAAGTAAATCTTTTTTTATTTAAAATGATACTTTGCACTTCTACAGAGATAAAGACTAATCTATATATAGTGAGAGGTCTTAACTCTGTAAAAAATATGCACATCATTTCCTATCACTAGTACCTTTCAGTTCGCTCTTCAGAGTTTAGGTACGGGAAAGTTCTCTGTCCTGTGCAATGTTTCTAGTTACTTTGCCTTCTGAGCCATTTTGTCTACTGAACTGTGGAAGGTACATTAGTTTGAATTTATCATTTTGAACTTTAAGTACTGGAAATTTCAAGCAAAACACGTTCATTGTTATTTGTTATTTATTACATTGTTCTATTGTATGACATTTGTTTTAATGTTTATAAGCTATGAGAATTGGTGCTAATTGTATTAGCCATTTGTTGTAAATGCCAATAATTGTTTGCCATGGGCCAGAATGCACATTTACCTTTTAGGAAGCCAAGTGTCCTTTATATTTATAAACAAATGCAATTATTTACTAGGCATTTGTGATCTAAAGAGTGGTTTTATCTATGTTATTACCTCTGTGTTATAAGACAAGATTCTAATTTGTACTTTTAATCTCTCAAATTGTTTGAGTGAAGATCGTGTGTCCAGTTGAACAGTCCTCAGGTGTTTATACAAATACTATGTTTTTATAGTTCTCAGACTTTGAAATATAATAAAGTTAAAAATACCTGCAAAAACTAGTGTCAGAACCTCATACGTGATTTGCTTTTATCTCATTACATTTATGTATGGATTGGTTATATTGAAAAAGTGCTCTAGTAAGTTTGTGGTTTCACATGTCCAAATACTTGACCACATTTGTGGTTTTATGTGTCCAAATACTTGAGTTTTAATGCTTGTCCTCATTCTGTGGGTGAACAGATTCCTAGGAGCAAAGGCTGGTCTCTTGTGGGGGCCTTCAATGAGACCCCAGGGGAACAGTCAGAAGTTAAATCAGTGAGCTTTATCTGTGCTCAAAACTTCTGTTATTTGCAATGTTGTTGATGAAGCAAGCATGCTAGAAAATGCCAGTGCCCCCAGATATTGTCCCATCTGAGTTCATATGTCTGGCTGGCAATTCTGGCTGCTCCTTGGCCACCAGGGCCAGAAGCCATACTGCCCCTCTGCCTTCAGCTCTCCTACCTTACACAGTGGGAAGGCCTTAGAGCCTCAGGGTTGTGGCCTTCTGTATCCAACTTCTCAGCCCTCCTGCCGCAGGAGCCACTGCTCAGTGCCTGGGAACCCAGCAACTTCCCGCTGTTGCTTCTCAGCAGCCTGTCCCATAGTTCACTGGAGGAGTCATGGCCATAACACTCCAGGGATGATGCCCAAGTGACTGGCATGGGGTGGCCATTTGCTGTCTGAAAGTTGGGTGATTCAGAACTACTTGTTCTTCACTGAGGGTTTGTAAATTATTAGTGTAGAGAATACCATGTTATATTAGCCTCCTGTGAACTTGCCAGGCTTCTTTTTTAATGTTACCACTTTTGTTATGAGTTTTTTCCCATTAAAAATCTATCATTTTTTAAATTTTATTTTTATTGATTATGCTATTACAGTTGTGTTGGTTTTCCCTTTATCCTCTAATCCCCCCTCCACCCAGCACCCCCCACTCCCTCAGGCAATCCCTCCACCATTTTTCATGTCCATGGGTCATTGGCTACTCCATACATCACTGTACTTTATATCCCCATGGCTATTTTCTTAAAGCCATGAAGGGGAAGGAAGGGAGAAACATCAATGTGTGGTTGCTTCTTGCATGCCCCCCACTGGAGACCCAGCCTGCAACCCAGGCATGTTTCCTAGTATGGGAATCAAACTGGCAACCCCTTGATTCTCAGGCCAGCATTCAACCACTGAGCCACACCAGCCAGGGCCCATAGCTATTCTGTAACTAGTTATTTGTACAGTACTTAATCCCCTCACCTCTTCACCCATTCTCCCATACCCCCTCCCCTCCCCTCCCATTAGGCAACCATCAAAATGCTCTGTATCTGTGATTCTGTCCTCATTTGCTTAGTTTGTTTTTTAGATTCAGTTGTTGATAGATTTGTATTTTTTACCACTTTATTGTGCAGTTTTGATCTTTTTCTTAAAGCAGTTCCTTTAACATTTCATACAATAATAGTTTGGTAATGATGAACTCCTTTAGTTTTTCTTGTCCGGGAAGTTCTTTACCTGCCTTTCAATTCCAAAAGATACCTCTGCTCGGTAGAGCAATCTTGGCTGTAGGTCCCTGCTTTTCCTGACTTTGAATATTTCTTGCCACTCCCTTCTAGCCTGCAAAGTTTCTCTTGAGAAATCCAGTGACAGTCTTATGGATACTCTCCTATAGATAACTTCTTTCCTCTTTCTGATTTTAAGATTCTCTCTTCATCTTTAACCTTTGGTGTTTTAATTACGATGTGTCTTGGAGTGGGCCTCTTTGCATCCATCTTGCTTGAGGGTCTCTGTGCTTTGCTTCTCTGATCTTCCTGCACACTAGAGGCAACTCCGGTGTTATGGGCCCCCCTTCCCTGGCTTTAGGGGCACTATCATCCCAGAGGGGATATCCTTAATACATACGGGGCCCCACTCCTTCCCTCAAGCTGCTAGAACTCATGGAGGTGATTCCACATTCACAGAAAGGAGAGCCTTGGGCTGCCTGTGATACAACATGTGCATCAGCTCCCAGTGACTGAGTGGTGAGTGTCATGACATTTCTTTCAGTCATTCTGTAGTCTGCTCTTCGGCCGAAGAACTAAGAGCTTAAGCCCATGTGTGCTCTCCACGGAGAGCACACTGAGCACGTCGCAAGTTAGATTTATATAAGACGAGAGATGTTAGGCTCTTTGACATTTAAGGTATGGATTGACTAATGTAAAGTGTTCTGACGCCCTGGGTGGTAGTGACAGTTGGGACCACCCCAGCCCTTCCAAGTTGTCCCCTGTGCTTAGAGACACACAGCCTGGAAGCAGCATTTCCCACTCTGCCTTACGGTAGGGTGGGTTCAATTCTACCACAAGTTGGGGAGGGAGGAAGGTAATTTTCCACTGCTGGCTGCTCAAGACACGCCTCTGGGCATCAGCAGAAGGCAGATGTGGGTTTTGCCAGGCCTCTGGGTGTCACCTTGGGATGCACCCACTTCGGTCATGAAGGAAGCTGAAGCCAGTGCCAGAGATTCCCTGTGAAACCCTTGCACTTCTGGATCTCTGGAAACTTCTGTCACTTTAGCCCCCTGTCTTCCAGTGGCTGGGTAAGCTTCTGGTTCTGTATGACAGCACTTCTGTCCTGAAGACTCGGAATGGCTTGTGGGTCCCTACTCAAACCCTGACTGGTCGACCTCCCTCAGAGTGTTGTCCTGCCAACTGTTTGAAGGGAAGAGTAGAAGTTCCACAGGGAGTGGGCCTTTGTTTTCCCTAGTTTAAGTAAACTAGTACATTTAACCAAATATAAAACTTCTTTGGGAGACGTGACATCGTTTTATGAACCAAATAGGAAAGAAGAATGACACCTGTTAAACTATCACTGTCAATTTGAATATGCAACCAATTTCACAGATGTTCAGATGTGACAAAATGGATGGCTTAAGATGCATAAAATGTTAACACTCAATAGCTGAACTCTGGTAATCTGTAAAGGTTGATGCAAAGAAACTGAGAGTTAAAGACTAACAATGTAAGCCCAAGTGACCACAAGAGAACGGCCACACTGGCCTGAGCTTTGTCAGAACCACGGTACAAATGCAAGCCCAAGCAATCTAATTGGTCTGCCCAAAATACGCAATCATCAAGACTGGAGTGTGAAAGTCTATCCCCTATCACAAGCAAAAGCCTTGCCATGAATGTGCATTTTACCTTTAGGCATTAGCTAATGCTAGCTAGGATGAAGGCGTCACAGGGAGACATTTCACAATTTCCTCCATGCAGCAAGGGAAAAGGAGAACAGGCTGGAGTGACTGTAGATTAGCACAGCCTGAAAGACACGTCGCCCAAGTGCCACGCTTGGACCTTGTTTACATCCTGATCAGAAGAAGCCAAGAGTAAAAAGGCATTTGTGAGAGAATTCAGGCAAGGTGGCCACCCAGTGGCTATTAGATGGTGTGCGAGAACTGTTCCTTTATGACACTGGTACTCCTGCTATGATACTTACGTTCTGAAATGGGGGCGCCCTTATCTCTTAGAAATGATACGGAAGTTTCATGGGTGAGATGGCATCGGGGGACTGTTTTGAAGGAGTCCAGGAGGAGTGGGATATAGAAAGAATGGGGGTACCCAGGGGTATTACTTGTGTAGACCAGGTGACGAACATGTGGGAGACCCTCATACAAGTCTCCGTATTCTTTTTGTTTGGTAATTCCCATAACAAAAAATTTAAGAAAAGTAAGTATCCAGAATATGAAGACGAAGCTCCCTATTTTTAAGAATGTCTAAATTCAAGCAAATTCTATCCATACAGAATTTCACTAAGTCAGTGATAAATATTAGACCCCTTCCTTGAGATTTCTTTTTTTTTAAAGATTTTATTTATTTATTTTTTAGAGAGGGAAGGGAGGGAGATAGAGAGAAACATCAATATGCAGTTGTTAGGGGTCATGGCCTGCAACCCAGGCATGTACCCTGACTGGGAATCGAACCTGCGACACTTTGGTTTACAGTCTGTGCTTAGTCCACTGAGCTATGCCAGCCAGGGCTGAGATTTCTTAATATTAGCTGAAAACAGTTAAGCTGCTTACCCCTGAGAAACACCTGTTCCATTTTATATGGTTAAAAAGGAGAACGATGTTGAAGTAATAAATATATATATTTATAAAAAATATATAAAATATATATTATATGCATATTTATAAAAATATATAAAACAATACAGTTTCAAGTGAAAACACATTACTTGGTCAGCAAATACACCTGGCAGGTGCGGAGAAAACATTGTGAAGAACTGAAGAAATGGGGCAGCCCTCTTGCTCTTATTGTGTGCATCTGTTGGAGGGCCCTCCCTGCTTTAGATTTACCAACAGTGTGAACTGGGAACAGTTAGCCAACCTTCAGGCTCAGGTCCAGATACAGGACAAGGGCAGAGCTCGCAGAAAGAAGAAGGTGGTACATGGAACTGCTACAGCTGATGACAAAAGACTTCAGGATTCTCTAAAAAAGTCTGTGAACAATACAGCTGGTATCAAAGAGGTTAACATGATTAAAGATGATGGAACAGCTATTTACTGCAAAAATCCCAAAGTCCAAGCTTCCCTTTCTGCTAACACCTTTGCAACTACTGGTCATGCAGAAGCCAAGCCAATCACACAGAGCTTCCTGAAATATTAGGTCAGCTTGGTGTTGACAGCTTAACAGGACTTTGAACGTTAGCTGAACAATTCTCTTGGCAAACACGATAACAGAAGCAAAAGCAGAGACACTGATGAGGAGGACGATCAGGTTCCAGATCTCACAGAGAATTTTGATGAGGCATCAAAGAATGAAGCTAACTAAAATCATTTTGGGTTTTTGGAAGCTGCATGGGCTGTGGTTCCCAAGTTTTCCAGACATGGAGACTATCAACTCTTAGCAGTTCGATAACAAATATTCTGTATATTACAAAAGAACGGAAGAAACAGGCACTAGGATGGACCGCGCTGTGTGGCAGCACTGCCATTCTGTGGGATGAAAATTCAGGTGCTTCTAAAACTCGCCAGTTGATGGCATGGTCTCAGG